GTCTAAATATAATGAATTAATGCCTTTTAATGTATCATTTGAATGAACTGTCTTTATATTCCTAAAAATAAATTGAAGCATTTTTTGAACAGTAGCAACAAAAAAACTTGATTTTGAGGAAAAATGCCTTAAAATTTGGAATTTTTCCCTGTGAGCTAGCAAAGTTTTTGTTTCTTCCCAACTGGGAAATCTTAATATAAAAATACTATTTGAGGTTTCCTCTTTATATTGTCAACAAAAGTCACTCAATAAATTTACACTAAATTAGGATTCAGACCTAATATAAATATATTATTGTAACCAACAAGACCAATTAAGTCTCTTCTCTGGATAAGCTTATGATATCAGAATGATCCAGGTGTCAAAATGTAGCTTTTAAAACCAAGAATCTGAAAATGTAATTAGATCATTTTGACCAAATTTGTCTTAATCCTCATTTCGATATGATTGGTCACATTTGTGCATCTTTTTTTAACCTCTTCACTTTTTTTATACTGTTTAACCTCTAACATTTGTAATAACTTTCTATCTGTTCATGATAATAAAAAATTTACATGACATTTAGTGTCTCTACATACAATATGTGCTAAAACAAGATTAACACCCTTTTAAAAATGAAAAGAATTACAAGGAAAAAATATTTGCAACATTTTAAAGGGATTTTATTAGATCTACAGATTATGTCTTGATAATTCAGGGAGCTAAAGTACACGGCAGCCAAAATGATTTCTGCAGGCTCCAAAGCTTCACTCCTCCTCAAACCCTTTCTGTGGCAGCCATGAAAGAAATGGAGAGAAAAAGAGAGAAACAGCTGTTTAGTACGTAGATTAGTGTTGCTACAGCCCAGTAAAGCATTATATTTACAGTTTAATACACTGTGTTGTTCTACAGTAGCTTTCAGGGTGGTTTGTGGAAATAACTTGGAAGAAAAACAGCCACAAGTTAAAAGGAGCATCAAGAGGAGTGCTGGGGGACATTTATCAGGGTCAGATGTGTGCATGCTTCCAACCTTGGGGCCCGTATCGCGGCTCTTGGCGCGCAGCTTGTTGACCTGAGACTCGGCGATGTCGGCTCTCTCTTCAGCCTCGTCCAGCTCGTGCTGCAGTTTGCGGAACTTGCCCAGATGAACATTAGCCTGTTCCTCCTGGGGCGAAAACAAACAAAACAAAACAAAACGTAGACCAATGTAAATATAAGTGAACAGATTCATATGAAAACTTAACAAATTACCCCACTTACAGCCTCCTCAGCAGATCGCTTGTAGGCTTTAACTTTCAGCTGCAACTTGTCCACCAAATCTTGCAGTCGGGCAATATTTTTACGATCCTCCTCAGTCTGAAGAACGAATAGACACTGTATGAAACTTAATTTATTTTTAAGAGAATGTATAAAGTAAATAGATCTTGCTGGATGACACAAACCTGGTAAGTAAGCTCTTTGATGCGGCGCTCATATTTACGGACACCTTTCACAGCTTCGCTGCTCTTCTTCTGCTCCAATTCCACCTCATTTTCTAGTTCCCTCACCTGCTCGAGGACATTTTGCAAGACTTTTAGTTATTAGTTTACTTCTTTATATTTTTGCTTTATACATTTATTACAGGTGCAAAAGAATGCGTACCCTGGCCTCGAGCTTCTGCACCTGCTTCTTGCCTCCCTTCATGGCGATCTGTTCAGCTTCATCCAGACGATGCTGCAGGTCTTTGATGGTTTGCTCCATGTTCTTCTTCATGCGCTCCAGGTGAGCGCTGGTGTCCTGCTCTTTCTTCAGCTCCTCTGCCATCATGGCAGCATCAGTGATGGCCTTCTTGGCCT